GGAGGCGGAGCTTACAGTGAGCCGAGAGCCGGCCACTGCACTCCAGCCTGGGCGGCAGAGCGAGACTCCGTCTCAAAAAAAAAAAAAAAAAAAAAAAAATCACCTTTATGAAAATACTACAGTAATAATTGTACATAAGATCTACCCAGTGGATGCTAAAACTAGTGGGTGAAAGTTTGCAAAACTAAGAAACAGTATTTGCATATTTTCAAAGTATCTCCCTCGAGATATTTATTAACTACCCAACTACTTTACAATAGAAGACCTAGGAGAAAATAGCTTAACTAAGTGATCAATGTGAGCATCACCAGTAGTAAAATATATGAATATTATGAATCCCATGATATGATGTAATAAGAAAAATACAACATCATTTCTGTAGTATTCTTGCCAAAAGTGTATAACCTTAGTACAATCATGAGGAAATATAAGACAAACCAAAATTGAGGAGTATTTGACAAAATAACTGATCTATTAATACTCTTTTAAAGTGTCAAAGTCATGAAAGACAGGTAAAAATTAAGGAACTTTTATAGATTGCAGGAATAAGGGGAAATAACAACTAAATGAAATGTGAGACTCTGGATAGAATTCTAGAACAAAATGAAAGACATTAGTGAAAATACTGATGAGATTCAAATAAAGTTTTTAATTTCTAATGTTAATTTCCTAGTTCTGATCAATATACTATGACTATATGAAATGTTAACTTTAGGAGAAACTGTGGAAGGGATATATGGAAACTGCATTATTTTTGTAAGTTTTCTGTAATTCTAAAATTAGTTTAAAATTTTTGAAAATTTTAAGGTGTTGGGAAGTTTGGAAATTTTAATTCCCTCTGTTTCACTATGGCCTAAGTTTAAATGAGGCTAGATAACTTAATTCTCAGATTGCTAACCTAGTAATTCTCTTACCTTCCCAGCATTGGTTAGTTATTTAAAACCATAAATTTCAAAAGATTTTCTCTTCATGCTACACATTGCTTTTCAAGAGTAAATGGGGGCCAGGCATGGTGGGTCATGCCTGTAATCCCAGCACTTTGGGAGGCCAAGGCAGGCAGATCGCTTGAGATCAGGAGTTCAAGACCAGCCTGGGCAATATGGGGAAACCCCATCTCTACTAAAATAAATAAACACATTTGAAAAAAAAAAAATTTAACTAGCTGTGGTGGTGCAAGCGCATGTAGTCCCAGCTGCTTTGGGAGGCTGAGGTGGAAGGATCACTTGAGTCTGGAAGGTTGAGGCTGCAGTGAGCCAAGGTCATAGCACTGCACTCCAGCCTAGGTGACAGAGCAAGACACTGTCCACAAAAAAAAAAAAAAGTAAATAGGGGCTATTCAAAATTATGATGGAGTGCATACACAGTATATTAAAGCAAGAAAAAGAAACACAAAGTATAAGAATTATAAAGGAATAAAACTTCATTATTCACAGATGATTTTTTATGCAAAGAATTCAAAACAGTATAAAGAAAATTAATATGATTTTTTAAAAGCAAAAAAAGATTTTAAGAAGGCATAAAAAATAAAAGAAAAACAAAGAAAATAATAAGATTTTATGAATATTGCTGGATACTAAATCAGCATATAAAAATCAATTATGCTTACGCGCAGTGGCTCATGCCTATAATCCTAGCACTTTGGCAGACTGAGGCAGGTGGACTGCCTGAGCCCAGGAGTTCAAGACCAGCCTGGCAACATAGCGACACCCTGTCTCTATGAAAAATACAAAAACTTTGGTTGGGCATGGTGGTGCATACCTGTAGTCCCAGCTACTTGAGAGACTGAGGTGGGAGGATTCCCTGAGGCTGGGAGGTTGAAGCTGTAGGGAGCTGTGATTACACCACTGCACTCTAGCCTGGGCAAAAGACCGAGACTCTGTCTCAAGAAAAAAAAGCAGAAATAAAATTGTGTTCAGTATAACTCTTTAATATAAAGTTCAAAATGGGAGCAAATTAAACTATATTATATAGGGATATGTACACTACTGATAAAGAAAAGCAAAGAAATTGTTATCATAAATGCCAAAATAATGAATCCTTCTGTGGGGAGAGGTGGTGTTGTAATCAGACCTGGGTGGTAGTTACGTGGGTGTTTGTTTTATAAATATTAAGTAAGCTTGACATCTATTAATCTATTTTAATGCATTTTCTACATGCATGTTATATTTCACAATAAAAATGGAGATTACTAAATTAATTACCAAAACTATTACTAAAGTAATTAGAGCAATTAAGACAGTACAATATTGCAAAGATAAACAATTAAGCCAATGAAACAGGAAAAAGAGTCACACATATATGAATCACACATACTGTGTATCAGATATGTCACTACAGAGACAGGCCTTTAGTGACAAATGATGTAAAACACTTGGGTCTCTATACAGAAAAAAACATTTCAGGCCTTTACCTTACACCATACACAAAAATCTATTCCTGGTTGATTAAATACCTAAATGTAAAAGTTAAAGCAAAAAGGACATTTTGGAATAACATAAGAGAATATCTTTATGATCCTGAGGTAGAAAAAGGTTTCTTAAATAAGACACCAAAAGCAAAAGGAAAAGCCCAAGGGAAAAGACTGATCAATCTGAAGTAAGTACAATTTAAGAATTCTATCTATTCAAAGCCACTGTGAAGTTTGAAGAGCAGCTAGGCACGGTGGTTCATGCCTGTAATCTCAGCACTTTGGGAGGCTGAGGTGGGTGAATCATTTGAGGGTAAGGAGTTTGAGACCAGCCTGGCCAACATGGCGAAGCCCCGTCTCTACTAAAAATACAAAAATTAGCCGGGCGTGGTGGCATGCGCCTATAGTCCCAGCTACTCAGGAGGCTGAGGTGGGAGAATCACTCAAACAAGGAGGTGGAGGTTGCAGCAAGCCAAGATCAATCACCACTGCACTCCAGCCTGGGAGACAGAGCAAGATGCCATATCAAAAAAAAAAAAAAGATTGAAAAGCCAATCACAGAATGGGAGATACTTGTAAAACAATATACAACAGAGGATTTATTTGTAATATACATACTCCTATAAATCCATAAAAATAACTAGACAAGGGTGCTCAACATTATTAGTAATAAATAAAGCAGAAAATGAAATTGAAATGAATTATCACCATGCACACTAAAATTAAAAATCTGGCATATCATGTGCTAGCATAGATGTGGATAATGGGAACTGTCATACATTACTGGTGGTAGTATAAATTGCACAACCATTTGGAAAACAGTTTGGCATTATTTAATAAATGCCCCAGAAGTTGAAATTCAAGCTATATATTCTTGAGTAACTTGTAAATCTGTGTACCAGGAGACATGCACAAGAATATTCATAGCAATATTGTTCATAATAGTCCCAAACTGGAAACAAAGACAGGATACCGTGAACCCTGGAGACAAAGAGAATGGGAAGGTAGCAGCCTTGGATTCTGATGGCTTTTTAGTTTGGTTCCAGTCTCTGATGAGGTCTAACTGCCCTTTGCCCCCTTTTAATAAATGTCCTATTTTGTTTAAGCTAATTTGAGTAGATTTTCTGTTTCTTGCAATCAATAGAGCCTTGCCTAGGGGACAAAAATGTGGTGAAGAAATCCTACAGATTACAAGAGACTTAAGAGACATATCAACCAATGTAAGGACCATATTTGGGTCCTGATTTAGACACACAGATTGTGAAACAAAGCACAACATGTAACAGCAAATAATTTTTTAAAGATCACCCCAAAACTCACCATACCTCTGGTTCAAAGTCTCTTGTGAGATTGCAGTTATCTCAAGGTTCTACTGAGGCTGGAGGATCTGCTTCCAGGCTCACTCATATGGCTGGTGGCAGGCCTGAGTTCCCCCCAATTCTGGCTTCTCCATATTCACAGCATGGCGGCTGGCAGGACCAACTATATGTGTTGGGCCCAATACAAAATAAAAACACAGGGCCCTTAGTTCAGAAATTATTCAGAATTTCAAGACAGTGACAGCAAAGCATTAAACCAAGTGCAAAGTCCTTCTAAGCCTAGGACTCTGTCTTGACTGCATAGATTACAAACCTTTGAAGCCACCTCTGGCAGGTAGTGAATGAGAGAGCAACCAAGATGGAAACCAGAAGTCTTCTTGCAACCTAACCTCAGAAGTGACATCCTGTCATTTTTGTTATAGTCTACTCCTTAGAAACAAATTAGTAAGTCTATTCCACACTTAATGGGGAGGAAATTATATAAGGGCAAGAATACCAATTGACCATTGTACATCATCTTAGAGACCCTCTACAACAACAATCATTTGTAAGATAATCAGGGAAATTTGAACACTGAGTGGATAACGATGATATTGTACTAAAATTACAAGAGTATTATCATTTAGAGACACACACCAAAATATCTACAGATTAAATAATCAAATGCCTTGGATTTGCCTCAAAGTAATATAGGGTGAGAGAGGAGTAGGAGCATAGATTGGTTATGGGTTGACCATTGAAGTGGATGATGGGTGTATGGAATTCATTAAACTCTATTTTTGTATATGTTTGAAATGTCTTATAAAAAGGAGCCTTGCTTATCTAAGACAATAAACCACCTCACTAAATTCATCATTGAATTTAGATGAGTATATTGGTATGATGTAAATTGAGGACAGACTCTTAGGGAAGGAAATAGGGGCTTGAAACATCAAAAGGATGACACTATGCCTGTTAGTCCATTTGCTTCAAAATTTCCAAATTCTCATGGTGCTTCTTAGAAAAGAAAGTATTAGAGAAGGAGCTGAAGGAAGAGGCTGGAGTGACTGGCCTATGGAAGAGAACCAACACATACCAACTTCAAGTCAGTGAAGTGTGATTCTTGCCTTGCTCTCCAGTTTTATCTTCAGCCCTGGAGAATTCCCAGGGCCTGCTTGTGCTTAGCTAGGAATAAGGATGGGGCTGCTTTTGAGCTGTTGGAATTAGGGATCTTATTGCTGTGGTATTTGCTTCACAAGTTTAGTATTAAGACCTTGCAGTGAACGATGTTTCAGCCTATGATACTGGATTGAAGTGTAAAAAGCATATGGCAAAATAGGAAGAGAAGCTAGGAATCAAAGCAGATAATAAAAAGTACTAATGAAGTACTATATGTTCAGAAATACTGTTACCACACTCAGTCAGCTATACACATGGATGATTTTTATTTTAAATATTCTTTACAGCTTTTATTTAAGGTGACTTTTAAAGCCAAGCTGCTTTTTCTTAAATTATCTTGTTTTTCAGGCCTGACACTTAGTTTGCTGGCAAGGCAACTGATTCCTCCTCTCAACATCGCTTATGCAGCTTTCTGTTCTTCAGTAATTTATGTAATTTTTGGATCATGTCATCAAATGTCCATTGGTGAGTTCAGCACTGAAATACACATGCGGTGGATGAAGTTTCCATCCTGATCATATATTTATTGCTAAGGAACCCAACATAAAACTATCTTTAAGATAGAAAGAAAGGAAGCAGGAGGTGGACATTCTATCCATACAGTTAGTGTTCAGATTGTAGAAATAAATACTTCTAGTGTATCATTATTGTCACCACCAGAAAACAGGCCAGCAAGTTGTTTCCCAAAGAAATTAAAGGGTAGAGGTACTTTCCTTGAGAAATCACCACACATTGGCATCTGACTTCCCTCAACCCAGAAGATTCAGAAATGATTATGTGAATACTCCTAGAGCAGATATTTCTTTCATCTGACCCATATTAACCAAACTCCATGGGCTGACTTGTAATACAGCAAGCCAGCTTACTAATTTACAATGCGAAAATGTTATCACAGTAATCAAAACACTGACATCCCTAGGATAAGTACTTCCCTTCCCTGAGTCAAAAGTCCATCTACTAATTTATAATTAGAAATAACTTATTACAGAGGCCAGACTAATTAAAGGTCATAGAATCAGCACATTTACTTCACCTAGGTGAGCCTGCATAGAAATCAAATCACAAAATTCCCCCATAAGTTTAGAAGGTTATTGCCAGTATTTACTCAGTGATGTGCCTTTTCCTAGATTTCTCCACTGAACAGACCAATCCACCAACATTTACCATTCTGAATGACACATTCTTTTTTTTGTTTTTTTTTTTTTGAGGTGGAGTCTCGCTTTGATCGCAGGCCCAGGCTGGAGTTG